GACTGAGGACGTCATAACCGCAACAGTGACTGTCTCACTGTTGGGTTTCACGACTGGTTCAAAGTCAGGACGACGTGAGAGTGCATCAGCGACGACATTAAGTCGTCCTGGTTTGTACTCGACCGTAAAGTTGTATTCTGCAAAGAATGACAACCACCGCGCCATTCGTTGTGAAAGGTGCGGGCTGTTCACTGCCGTGCGTAATGACGCATGGTCAGTGTAAACAATGAAGGGTCTATCTCCTAATAGATAGACTCTGAACTTCGCGAGTGCATGGCAAGGAGTTCCTTGTCATGCACTGGATAGTTCCGCTCAGCTGGTTGCAGCTGACGCGACTGATAGCAGACGACGCGTTCAACGCCTTCAAGATCGTACTGCATTAATGCACAGCCGATTGCGAAATCGCTGGCATCACAGACCACATGAAATGGCCTGTCCTGATCGGCTATTGCTAGGACTGGGGATTGTATCAAGCTCTGCTTGATACCATCAAAGGAGCGCTGACATTCAGCGTTCCATGACCACATCTCGTTCTTTTTCAACAAACGAGAGAGGTGTACAGTCATCTCGGCGTAATTGCGTGAATACTTATGCAAATACGCCGCTAGCCCAAGGAATTTTCGAAGACCTTTGACATCAACCGGCACAGGCCAGTCGGTGATCGCCTTGATCTTTTCGGGATCAGGACGTACACCGTTCTTACCAACGATGCACCCAAGAAGTGGTATTTCGCTTGCTGCAAATATACACTTCTTGAGGTTTGCATACAATTGATGCTTTCGCATGATTGTAAGAACCTGTCGGACGTGGTACCTGTGAACCTCAACATCCGACTTTCCATCCATAGCCCGACTATGGATGAATACGTCATCGAAATAACTCGGCGCGAATTCTCGTACTGGTCTCAACAGATGTGATACACATCTGTTGAACGTGGCAGGGGCATTACTAAGCCCTTGTGGCATTACTAGCCATTCCCAGAGCATGCCGCTAGGCGTGCTAACTGCGGTATAGGGTATATCCCGTTCTCGCATAAGGATTTGATAGAAGCCATCCATCAAATCCATGGACGAAAAGATGGTACTCTTTGACATACCATCAATGATTACGTCCTTCCTTGGTATTGGCGTCTGAGCCGGTACCGTTGCAGCATTCAACTTGTTAAATGCATGCACTATCCGCCACCCTCCTGTTGCTTTTCGCACACAGAAGGTCGGAGAGCTATGTGGGGAAGTTGATTCCCTCACATGGCCCGCAGCTAAACGATCGGCAAAGAACTTGTCGATCGCAAGTACTTGTTCACGAGGCAGTGGCCACTGCTTCATGACACAGTACTTCGAGCCTGGTTTAAGCTCGACCTCGTGTCGAATACCTTTATCCTTCGGTAATTCGCACGGAACAGTTTCAGGGAATACATCCTTGAATTCAACCAAATCTTCATAGAGAGGATTTGTCTTGAGCGATTCCCATGATTGGGAGTCATATCGCTCAATTCGTGTCTTTTCATCTAGGACACTCTCGTCCATAGATGAACTACTGAGAACTCTCTCGTTCTCAGTAAACACTGTTGCTGACCTTATGTCGGTTACACACTCGTCGTCAGCGACGAGTACGCAGATCTGCTTGACTTTGCCACTACGCAGATCACGCAAGAACCTTTTATGTTCGAGCGTTGGCAACTGAGTGATCTCCGAAGTCAACTTCGGAGGCGCAATCAGATCAAGTGCATAAGCGCCTACACTTGATCCGTTATTGACTATGACATTCAATGTCTCTGTCATTTCCTGGGGACTTATTCCCTCAGGCCTCGAAGGACTTATTCCTTCGGTTTCCCGGGGACTTATTCCCGCGGGTTTCGGGGAACTCATTTCCGCCGTATTTGTTATATTGGGACTTATTCCCTTTACTTCCTCTAGCTGGGGTTGCGCAACCACAGCGAGATCCTCTACGAAAGACTCTCCAGTAGATCTAGGATTATCGTTTCGCTTAACCTGAGCGATCGATTGTTTCTCTTCTAGATGTTCCCCGCTAGGGATACATCTTTGTCCCAGTCCACTCGACTTATTCGAGTGGTGGACCTTCGGCGCAGCCTGTGTTTCCTCACAGCCGCCGGAACTTTGCTCCGAAGTGTAACCGTTTGGTACACTAAGGTTTTGTGCAGTCGTACTAACGACCGTACCACAAGTGAGGCCATCGCACTCACTCGTAGTACATCCACACGCTTGTGGACGCTCCAAAACGTTCATCAGATGGCCATCTGATGAACAAGCGGCAGGCATCGTTACTGTCCGATGTTGCCAGTTTACCCGTGGTTCGTACCTTCTGAGCCACGGTATTCCAAGGATGACATCAAATTTGTCATCCAAATCCAATACGATAAAGTCATCGTCATATTGGGTATCTTCTAGCGTATAGTGGATCTTCACTATACGCTTCATGACGGTTACGGATGCGCCTGTCGCAAGACGTACCGTCATCCTCGTAGGAGGTGTGTCACATTCACTGAACTTAAAGTGACCATCTTCTAGCGATTGGCGTCGCACAAAATTGTTGGACGCCCCACAATCGACTAGAGCTCGAAGGGACAACTTATTCGTCACTTCGAGTTTCAAGGTAATGAGTGAGATCTCATTACCTAGAGCAGCAACGCACGACGTTTGTGTGTTGGGAGCAACCTTCATCAAGAGGCCTACAAATTCTCTTGACGTTGCTGGACCAGTAGGGTGCTCCGCACCTACTGATCCTGTCCGTTTTTTGACGGTCCATCCCGTTGTTGCGTCTTTGCACCAACAGCGGACCCTCGTCCCTGCCCCTTTCTCATGGGTGGACGGTCACTACGCCCAGTGTTGCGAGACACTGGACGAGGGGCACTACACTCGTAAGCGTAGTGTCCTGTCTTTTGACATCTGTTGCATCTCTGCAACTTCTTGTAGCCTGTAGAGCGAGCCTTCTCGCTCTCTACATAACAGAGTTCCATCGGCTCTGGACCTCCGTTGTCATATCGTCTCGGTTGACGATATGATGTCGAGCTGGCGCGAGCCTGTCTCAGACTGAAGTCTTCCTGCTCCGCAATGGAAATGGCTTGTTCTAGTGAATCTAGTTCAAGCCGGAACAGGTGAGTCTTGACGGGACCATCCGCAAGACCCTGCATGAACACCGAAACCAACGTGTGTTCATCCACCGGATTGGAACTTATACAACTCGTGAGATGTCGTATATGTTGCGCGTAAGCGTGCACATCACGCTTACCCTGCTTGAGCTTCAAGAGTTCGGTTCGAGCTCTGAACTCAGCTCTAGGCGGTTCAAACGTTTGTCTGAGCCGCGACTTGAAGACTTCCAACGACCCAAACGCATATGGGTCGTGCAACTTGAGCCCCAGTGCCCAAGTCTTGGCACGTCCTGCCAGATTTGACTGGGCAAATGCAACTTGCATATCCCCGTCGTCGATGCGACGCGCCCTTATGGCGTCATCCAATTCGACGAACCATCTCAAGAGGGAGTCCTCTTCGACTCCCCTATACTTGGAGATGTCAATCTTCAAGGTCTCGGGTCGACGCGAGTGCATCGACCCACCAGCAGCAGCCTGCTGCTGTCTCAACAGTTCAAACTGTTGAGCACCTTGTTCTCTCAACAACTCTGCTTGTTGAGAACCTTGTTGGTGAAGCAAGGCTACTTTCTCGCGTTCAGCGTCAAGTTCATTTTGAATGAACTTGGCGATAGTAGCATGTTGGGCATCTCTATTGAGAGCCTCTAGCATGACGCTAACAGCATGGATGCCCATGGTTGAACCCATCCGTTGAACCGCATCCCATTCGACATCGCTCAAATGGGAGTAGCCGTCACGCGTAGCGTGAAAGCTTTGGTCATCTTCATCATCTAACATATTCATGTTAGATGTGAACGTGGTCCTTGGACGGACTACGAAGTGCTACCAGGTGTAACGGGGCACCCTGAAGCTTGTACTGGTGACAGTACGAGCTACTTATTCCGATGACAGAATGCGGCGGTGCCTCAGAACTTCACGTACACTGGTACGTGCAGAGGAAGACGGTAAGAAGAAGCGAGTACTTGGTTAAAGTAAAAAGTAGAACTGTATTTATCATAGCTAATGTCTGTTAATAAACCACTATTTATCCTCATCTGACTATGTCTAAATACAAATGTGTATATCACTTATCTGCTCACCACTCATTGCGTGCGTCTGTCGTGGCGCGTCTTCGTTGGTTGATATAATGGCCTATATCAACCAATTAGGAACTACTCGTAAGTGCTGCAGAATATTTGTCCTTATGACAATATTCTGAGAATATAACTCTTATAGTTATATTCTATTAACAATTGCTTATAAATTGTTATGTAACGATTCACCCCGATACAGGGCACCGGAGCGACACACTGGACGACCAGCATGAAGCTACTATTACTGACAGCAGCGCGAGTGGTGCCCCGCTACCTCTGTGAGCTTGGCAGAGGAAGGGAAAGCAACGAGGAACTGACTAGTTGCTGGTAAAGGTAAAACTGTATTGAATGTAATTAAGTCCTGATCATCAATCTCTGTTTGGTCCTCACTTAAGTATACGTATCTACAAAAAAATGCTTCCTCACCTCTTGCTCACCACTCATTGCGCGCGTCCATCGTTGATTATACCGCAAGAGCTGGTTAATATAATGACCCATATCAACCAATCCGTGAGTGATTCTAAATATTACCCCTCATGGTACTCTGCACGCACATTACCAACCTTTATGATCGTATTCTAATTAGCAAGTATCAATGGTAACTAACATGTCACAGGATTTACCCCGTTACAACACGTGGTACCTAGTCGTGCAAGAAGCAGGCGCTAAAAGGTTTTAGGAAATTAAACACAGCGGACAAGGCGGGCAGAAGGTTCTTTGAATTTTACGAGGGTACGAGTCAGCATAGTGAAAGTTCAGCTTCCCTCACTGCCTCTATAGGTCTCAACCAGCGGTACCCCCCACCTTGAACCTGAACCAACATGCGTCGTCATCCAGTATTGCTCACTGCCGCTGTCGCACTCCTCGCCAGCAACTTTATGGTCACGTTTGCCAGCAAGTGCACGATCGTCAATCGCATGCCAGAAACTGCCACTGCTGCTTCCTCACACGACTTGACAGATGATACTTCCGATGCTGAGGCGACTCGTGGTTCCTCTACAGCATCGACTACCGATGCCGATGAAGTTTCCCCTGACGACAAAGTCGACCGATCGCTCGAAAAAGCTCCGACGGTTTCCACAAGTGACGGTGAAGCAGCTCCTGACACAAGCGCTAGTGGATCTGGTTCACCTTCGAAATCCACCAGGCCAACTTCAGCGACGTCGAAGGATAACTCAAGCCTTTGCGCCAAGCCTCGCGTGGTCATCACCGAAGTGGACGTGGGTGTCGCCATTGACAGCAACGAAGACGAAGCTGCACTCAAGCTTGTGGCCATTGCCGCGATGCCGTCCGGTGGATCACGCATCGCTTTCCATAGCAAAGACAATGTCATCGTGCGTGAACTCGATGCCAACGACAAGCTTGTGAGCAGCAAAACCGCCATCAAGGTCCCGATGCACGACTTTGCAGACATCCACGCCGACGAGGATGGCTTTGTGATTCTCGGCACGAGAGACGCCGAAGGAGGTGGCACCCTCAACTGTGGCAATCCGAGCAATCTGTGTGGTGCACCACTCGACCCGGCCATGCCATGCTACGACATGTACTTGGCTCGCTACGATGGTTCGAGTGAGAAGTGGGCGACGAAGCTGACATCTTCTAGTGCATCGCTGCCCCCTTACTCGTCGTCCAAGACGGGCAAAGACGTGTACATGATCTGGTGGTACGCGCACCACGGCCGCATTGCATTCGACGGCGCGAACTGGGCCACGTACTTCGGCGCCGCGGTCTCGACGTCTCAAGATGGCTGCATCAATATCCACCAAGGCGACCGCATGAAAGTCGTGAGTCCGTCCGGTACCATCACAGCGGACAAGGACTCGTTTGACTGGGGCTGCTCGCACTCGGCCTACGAGCGCATCACGTACGACAACCGCACGAACAGCTACGCGACGATCTGTAAGACGGACAGCAACAACCGCATCATGCCACCCAAGGACTGGGGCACGACCATCTACCCGGTGGACCTCGGTGCTGCCAACCTCGGCGACATCGTGCCGGACTCGGACCCGTCCAGCAAGAAGTACTGGGCGACAGTCAGCAATGGCAAAGGCAACAACGCCAAAGTGCACCTGATCCACTTTGCAATGGACGCTGCGGCCAGTGGAGATATCACGTTGGGGGGCACGGACGCTAACGAGCGCGCACCGCATTTGGCGGCTATCGGCAAAGGTGGCATGCTTGCCATGTGGGAAGGCAGCTCTTCGGGCGGTGACCTGGTAGAAGGCAGTGGTCGTACAATGTACGTGCAGGTGCTGGATGGGAAGACCGGCAAAGCCATTAGCCAGAAGGTCACGGTGGACAAGGCAGTGGTGGGCAACCGGTACCAGGCGCTCAAGACGTACCCGGACGGCAGCGTGGCGTACTTGTCAAAGGGTACAACGAGCACGTCGGTGCAGGTTGTCCGCTTCTTTGGTTGCTAAGGGCTTGGATGTGGATGCAAGTAGGTACAGTCGATAGATGGATCGGGACCTTTTGCTTCTGATGGGTTTACACTTCAACATGATGGGCACGTCATGTCGATGTCGTTCGTCACAGAATGTCGCAAACAACGCGTGGGGCTACTGCTACATGCTGATTTGTGTGGTACACACGAAATATGTGACTGGCACGACTCTATTTTGCAGTTAGTACAGGTAAATAGAGATCACGTGAGACGGTGATCATGGCGGCGCTAATTCGTAAGCAGCCTCGAGCTGCTGTGTATGTAGCGGCTACACGGCAGCACGTGGGAAAGACAAGCACGTGTTTAGGACTTCTACAAGGACTGTCATCCCGAATGGAACGCATTGGCTTCTTTAAACCCGTGGGTCAAGAGAGCGTGGTGGTCGAGGGCGGCTCAAGGCGCGTGGATAAAGACGTGGCTGTGGCAAAAGGTGGTGACGAGAAAGTGGCACATTTACGTACATTTTGTGGTGGTTTCATTCCGTGCCCTAATTTCTAGTCTGAAAAATGGGATAAGTAACGGGTTAGAAATGCTTTCTATCGGCTTCGACGTTTAATGTGCAGAGGTGTTTAAGCTCAAGACTTGCAATTACCGCGACATGTCCCCCGTGGTGATCATGCCTGGCTACACGAAGCGCTTTTTGGATGGCGAGATCACGGTCGAGAGCCAATTGGACAAAATTCGAGCGAGTTTTAAGCGCATTACGGAAGCAAATGAGGTACATTGTTTCTTGGTGCAGCGGAGACGGTTTATATATTTCCTGATGGGGAGTATGTCTGGTGTTTGTTTTTGTTGTCGTTATTGCAGTTTACTGTTGTTGAAGGCACTGGTCATACTGGCGTAGGCTCCATTGTTGACTGCAACAATGCTCGGATAGCTGCTGAACTGGGAGTCGATATGGTGTTAGTGGCCAATGGCGGTCTCGGCTCGGCATTTGACGACCTTGCGCTTAATTATACAATGTGCAAGGCACATGGTGTGAAGATCCGGGGCGTCATTTTGAATCGAGTGCTGGATGATCGCGTGGAAATGCTGCAAGAGTACTTTCCGAAGGCCATGAAGCACTGGGGAGGCAACGTGCCTCTGATTGGCATTGTCCCGAATTCACCGGTTCTTTCGAATCCGAGCATGCTGGACTTTGAAGGGCTGTTTGCGACCGAGATGCTGACTTCGCGCGTGCGACGCTTTCAGCAGTACGATCGAACTGCGCTTGTGACAGCTGGGCTGCGGCGATTCTTAGAGCAAGTAGCGTCGCCGGAGTTTGAGCGCGCGCTGTTTGTCACGCACGTATCTCGGAACGACATCATCATGGGTTTCTTGTCCCACGCACAGAATTTTGAGCTCATGGCGAAGCGACCGTACGGCGGTGGACTTATTCTTACAGGCTCATTGTCAGCAGACAGCCACCAAGACTACATCATGAATATCATCAAGCACGCCCAGGCACCTGTGCTTCACGTACCTACGACAACTTTTGCAGCGATGGAGAAGATCACGCATTTCACAGGTACGAATCGACTGCAATGTGTATATCACCGGTAACTCACGTGCATAACAATCTAACACCCTTTCCACCTTGATGAAGCAAAATTCAATCCGATGGACGAACAAAAGGTGCGTTCTTGTGGCAAACACTATGCTCGCCACATCGACTTTGACGCGATTCTCGAAAGGTAGACCGCGGCGATAGGACGCAGTATCAGTATCAGGTCACATCAAGTACGTACTTATGTAAAGTCAGTCCAGCTTTTCAATCACAATCGTTTATGTACTCAATCAAGCGCGTGTGAACCACCCATTTCGAAATGTTCACAAATTTTCGTCGATACATTAATGATCTAGAACGAAATACCGTTACGACAGCCTCGATCTACCATGTCTTCTTCAGCCGGGGTGAGTGTACGCGGCGTGACTTTTGACCTCGATGATACGTTGTGGTGTGGTAAAACGCTGATTGACAAAGCTAGCACCGCCTTTCACGCATACTTGGCGCAAACGACGCCGCAGCTGGCTGACAAATTCCCTCCTGCTGCGTTTGACGCGCTTCTGATGGACTTCCAGCGTGCTGTGCCCGACAAAGCACACGACTACACTTTCCTTCGCAAACATACGCTTCGTCATTGTGTGAGTCTTTGCGGCGCTCCGAATTTGAATCTCCACGACCAAATGCAGCTCGAAGCTTTCGTCGACGCTGCGTTCCAAGCTTTTCTTGTCCCACGCAGTCAACCAGAGCTCTTCGACGGCGTAAAGAGTTTGTTTCAAGATTTGCGAGAGGAGATCAGACGGTGTGGAGGCGAGAATGATCCCGTGTTGGGGGTCATTACGAATGGCAATTGTGAAATGAACCACCTGCCTCGATATTTCCATCATCACGTAAACTTTGTGGTGTCTGCAGAGCTCGTGGGTGCAGCAAAGCCGAGTCGAGCCATTTTTGATGCGGCGGTCACTCACTTTCCATCTTCGCTGGAAAACCGCCAGCATATTGTGCATGTCGGCGACCACTACGAGTGCGATGTGGAAGGAGCGAAACGCGCGGGATTGCGCACGATTTGGATAAATGCGAAGTGGGCAAAGCCCGATGCATTGACTCGAGCTGATTTATCCCCGGAAGAAGCAGAACAGTATGGTGCAGCAGACGCGATTGTGAAAGAAGTGAATGCTGTACTTCTTGTTGTCCAGTGCTGGAACGCTCTTGCTGTGACGTTGGAATGAACAAAGAAGGTGTGCTAGATATGTCGTCGGGAATGGCGCACAGTTGGCATTACCAAACGTACCTTCAAGAACACGCACTGCCTACTTCCATGCACCACTGAAGAAGCGAACCCGTGAATTGACGTGCACGTTTTGCCCTGTCCGACCTACGGTGCTGTATCAGTACCTGGTAACAGTTGCCCACTACGTACCTGTCCTGCTGTCACCTTCTCGCTAGTGGCTTTACCCGTCGTAGTATTCCGTCCTGGGCCTACAAATCGGTCATAGCCACCACCAAGTCCAACATGCTGCCTTTCGGCATGGCCAGTATGCTACCTTTGCCGATGGACGGCAGAGCGACCGACTCAGTTTGTACCGTCGACCGCAATGCGACCGCGGTCCGCGTACCGCCAGATCATGTACATGTCCTTGGGCGTCTTGAACGACGAGTACGACGGCAGCAATGTAGTGGACGACGTCAACTTTGTCGCCCACTTCTCGCTCGTACCATCGTAGCGAGCCTAGTTAGGTCATCGCATGGCACGGCCATGTCGGGTGGTGAGCCACGCATGTTGCTCGGATAATCGCAGTTGAGGGTGACTCCTCGTTCGGCATCTTTCGTGCCGAGAATCACAAGTCATTTCTCGTCGGCGTGGATATCTGCAAGTCGTACATCGGCACCTAGAGAGCGGCTATAATAATACTGGACTTCGGAGATGATGAATGTTGCTGAAGGTAGCATGATGGATTTCAAGGTTGCATTTAATCCGCCGGTTGTTGGCCGGGAACTACAGCCAATAGCTCCACCATTGTTACTTGTGGATAAGTCGGAGCTTCTTCGAACGACAGCGTGCGGTCAGTTTATGCCGGTGATGGTCGTTTCGGTGTCACGAAACGTTAGTTAGCATCGACTGTCAAGTCACTGAGAACACGGAATGAGGAAGTAGCAATTATCATCATGGTTTGGCTATCTTTCGAGCAATGTCTTGATAAGCTGTGCTTACGGGTTTTCTACGGGGGCACTTGACTGCGTACCGAAAGCGTTAAGAAGGTCCTTGGAAATTAAAAGAATCACTAGCGACGACCTGACCGTGCATCGAGTACTGTATCTGTATCTTTTGCCGAGGATTCGGCATCCCAAAATTAGCTGCAGGGAATCTTTTGCTCAACTGCAAGACTTTAGCAACATCAATCATCGCAGCTTGGCGTTGGCGCGATATCGGACATTTAAGGACAACAGTATCGCATATTTTTATTTTATTTTAGCAATTTGTTTACGTTGACATGATGACGGTGGTACGAAACATGTGAACACAATAAAGCTTTCGTGAGTCTTCTGCAAAGGAACACAGCGAAGAAGCCGTGTCCCAATGTAGACTAGAGCATGCTTTCTGAGAGATGAAAGGAAAGAAACTTACCGCACAAGAAAGTGGCTGCATACTGTGGTAAATCACCCGTCTTGGTATCATCGAGTGTTTACTACAACGTACCCGCAATTTTATCACCCCGAAAGATGTCAAAGTGGTGATCGACACCCCGGCGTCGTCGTGCAAAATCAAGCGTGACAATGGTAGCGGGAATCGAATTTGAATGGCTCGTACTATTTGGCTCTTAGTCTGCATCCTGTGTGCACGATACCTGTTCGTCAAATTGACCTCAAACGATATAGAGCACAAAGGAGGGGCACTTGATGCATCAAGCAGCAAATTGAATCGATAGACAGGTCGAGGTTTATGTAGAGTCAAAGAAAGAATGTCCAGCACGCACATGTCGTGCATCGGCAAGCATCATGCGAGTGGCATAAACAATGATATCGCAACTCTTGGTCCTACAAAACGACATCGAATCACCACATGTAGATATCGATAGCTGTGCTGTAAAGGACATCTTCATTTACCGGGGTGACTCCCGAAGCTTGTTTCGGGATATCTGAGATAGGAAACTGCGTTTGAAGCATAAATGTGTACACTAATAGTGAGACTGCCGTCTTATTTGACTAACGTCCTGACGACTCGATGGTGCTACAATTTTGTAGGGTCGCGATCATGTTCAAGCACGCTGAGGAGATGCGTGTATACTGTTGCCTACGTCGTCATTTAGGTTTGGTCCAGAAGGTTGCTATTGACAACTATGACAGGAAGAACCAGGTGGCTGTGAATAATCTGGCCCAGCCTTTCACATGACCTCACTGATCAGCCTGTGACTTTTTCATACACATGCATCCAAAAACTCGAGCTTGGAAACTAAAATAAAGTTGTGCGCATGCGAATTACTCAAAATACCTCAAACAAGCCTGATGTTTACATGTTATGTTACAGGTAAAGAACTCGATAAATTTACCACACGTATCTGGCTTTTTATGTTTGCGGGACCTGATTCTTGCGTGCAGAGGTGGCTACAATAGAGTTTACCATCTTTGTATTCACTTTCATCATAGTAGCAAACAAGTTGCTGCTCAGAACGCTCATAGAAGCGAAGCACGCTATGCGTTGTACCTAAAAAGAGGTACTAGCTGGAAAGGATATAGCCGAGAGGCTGTTGACATAGGTGAGAGTCCAGCCGCTCTAGTCGACAGTGTGCACTTTTTCATCATTTTTAAGTCTGGGCTTGTCGTTGCCTACAATTTAAAACGCTTTTATTGCCCCAGGGCGTCGCTTCCTCCTCCAGCAGCTGCTGCCAGTCGCTTGATCGTCATCGACAGCTCGTCTAACAGCTCAAATGGCTCAGCTCCTTTGCTAACATTGTAGACAAAAGTCTCATGCGTTTCAATTTACGATTTCATTCAACAGGGGTCGGACCGGGACGGTGCGGTCGGAATTAGCAAACTATTGTGCTGGTATCAGCATCCCCTTATTAGGGGCGTAGCTGTGGATCACTGAAGTGGAAATATCGGATACGTGTGGTGAATTTAACAATTCTCTAAGGTAAGGGCAGGGCATCTGCGTGTTCATCTGTGTCAATGTGCACCTTCGCTGGAAGGCTCTGTATTCCCAAACTGAAACGTTAGAACATCATTAACCGACTGTGAGAGGCGAAAGGTGCTGAGATATCCGATCGAGATCTTGCCCGTTATGCGTGACTTAAGTAGAGTGAGTAATCGCGACAATCGTTACAATTTCCGCACATAGTTTGTTCGTTTACAATGAAGCTTTTGCATACATACAAGAATGCGTGTGACAATTGCATATACGTGCGACAGTTTACCAATACAACACCTTACACCAGCCCGCAATGCTTTTATCACAGACGTTGAGCAGCAGAAATGAATGCTACCTGGGCAGAGTGCGTAGAGGGTTTTGCTTTCGTAAGAAAAAACCCTTACAAATCTTTGTTGCTGGATATCGCGCTTTCCGTTATGGTGAGGTGAGCGAAACCTTATTCGCTGCGATAGAGTTCATGTTGCAGTAAAGTTGCTGAATATACAGTGTCTTACGGCAACTGTCGCTTACTTCAGGAAATGGGATACTAAAAGCATAAAAGCGGCCCAAATATCCGATATGAGTCTATTTACAGATCTGATTCTGCCGTGCAACAGCTCACCCTCGTCATTGTCTGATGAACGAGCTAAACCTCGAGTCCACGTCTCGCCTGCGTCGACGCAGCTTCTTCGAAAGCATTGAGACCGACAGCGCCACCTCGTCGAATGTCACACTGAACGAAGTCGACTTGACGACTGCCGCGTCCACTGGTGGCTCACTCAGCGACTCTGAGAGCACTGGCGGGGACAGTGGTCAGCTAAAACCTGTCAAAGTCGGTACGAGCCACTTCACAGGCGCCACGGACGACCACGACCCAGCTGGTCGGCGGTTTTACTTTCCACCGTGGTCATGCACACAAGTAGTCCTTAAGTGGCTGCAAGCCGTCTGGCGGTACATAACCGCTAGCGTTGACGTAGCCGGTACCGCATGGACAGCGCGGTTCCCTGCTGCAGCGTCCAAAGTCCGTGCCTGGCACCACACGACCGCGCACTTCTGTGTCCATGGCCCATACGACTATATCAAGCGCAGACGAGGCGACGGCGCAGCGACGCCAGTCAAGTATTGGGTCTACCCGACGCAGTACCTCACGTACGCGTCCGGGAGCCTGTTTCTGCTCGAGTTACTTCTCTACTGCTACTTTTACACCTTCCCCTTGGACCTCCAGGTTTCCGACTGTGTCTTTCGAGAGCGCTTGTTAGCGTCTGTAACCACCACCCGACAGCTGCCACAAACAGCTGGTTCGACGCCCGTCCAGTCGGTGGCAGCAGCAGCCACCACATCCACATCTGCGACACTGAAGTTTCTCGAGCGCCGATTCGAGCAGCAGTACAGTCCAGGCAGTCGACAGACGGGGCAGACGCGCGTGCCCTGGACTTGTCTCGCGATTGTGGCTACGGAAAGTGACACGGCCACGGCTCGACAGACGACCGAGTTGGCGTTTCTATGGCCTCGAAGTCAAGTGGTGACAGCAAGCGCGTTGCACCGGACCGTCGCGAGTCGCGTGCACGTGGCCGTGGGGGCCAATCCGCTGGACACGAGTGCCGAGCCACCAGCAGTTGCCCGTGCGGGAGTGTTCGCTGCGCTGTTTCCGTTGAGTGCCATGCGCTCGGCGCTCTTTGCACCGAGATTCCCGGATCTTGTGCTGGTGACGACGGAGTTTGCGCTGCGGCAGATGCTCAAGTTCCGCCAGGAGCGCCAAGAGGAGCGCGACCATCGAAGAAGAGCAGGAGCTCCTCCGCTACGTGCAGTGGGGTATACGAACTCACCGACGGATGTTGCTGCGGCAAGTCACTTTGGTGTGTACTTGCTGAGAGCCACGGTGCCGGATATCTACGACCGACGTATTCGCAAACAGTGGGACGAGTTCCTGCATGTCGTTGTTGTGGATGGTTTGGACAAGAAGGAGCAGTTTACAGAGGAACTGCTGTCTGCGTGGGTGGCTCACCCGACGTGGCCCGTCCTGCACGTGCGATTCCAAAACTCTCTCGGACTCTGCCGGTCTTTTCAGCGACTAGTGAGTAGTATGAGGAAGGATTACGAAGCTGGTACAGAAGCCGCATGGACTCGTGTGCAGAACGTGGACTTGGTGTGTGAAGAAAACGCCAACGCACCTCAGGAGATCGCGAGGCTGAAGAACGCGATTGGTATCCACCTGTTTCCAGTGCCACCGGAGCTGGAGAAGTATGAGGTGACAGTGCTCGAAAGTTTGGCGGTCGGCGCTGTCACAGTGACGTACAACACACCGATAATGCAGGAGTGGGTACCGGATAGCGCTGGCTTGCGTGTCGGTGTGTTTGACTACGACAGCACAACTGGTGGTACCGATGAGAACATGCAAGTAAAAACGGATGCTGCAGACCAGGACATGTCCGATGATGACAAGGGTGTTGCAAAAGATGAACAAGAGCTAGCGTATGGTAGTGCACTCGTAAAGCTCCCATCGGTGCATGTGACACGCAGTGAAATCGAGCACGCGGTTGAGAAATTACTGTCGCTCGATCGAGTCAGCCGTGTGGCGGCAGGGCGCTCTGCTCGCGTCCATTATATGCGTATGCGGACGCACTACTTTTCAGCTGTAGCTGCTCTGGATGCTGCTATTTGCGAAGGAGACAGTGAAGATATAGCTGAAACGCAAAGTGAGATCGGGCAGCACAGACGCAGGAAAGTCGAGGTCGAAACGCTGCGAGCATTTTTGTATTAAGCTGCTTTCCGCGACATGGGACCCTGATTGTAGAAGCGACTGGAATGCTACACCCATTCACGACATGCTTCACTTGCCTTGTGCTCGTAGCAGCGTAGCCGAAGGCAGACTATGCAACTTTTCGCTCATTACGTCTCGACAGTCGCGTCTCTCCACCACCACGCCACCATATCGGCCGTATCCTACCATTGTTGTCGGTGCTCCATGTGGTAGAAGTGCCGGGGACATCCGTATACTATTGTTGTATGTACGTGTGGTAACGTCGACGATGAACATGTACCGTTGATGGGTAGCAAGACTGAAATAGGGGTCCACTGACTTTATGCAGTCGTGAAGAACGAACATTAGAGCAACCACGTCGATTGCTTGTACGTACGTGATGAACACTCGATAAAAGCTCGCAATCGATCGAAGAAATAGCCAAAGTTTGGCTCGCTGCTTGTCGCAAAGAGATACAAGCTCGCAATCGCTCGATGGTTTTTGACACTTAGCTGGTCAATTTATCCATATTAAAGTGGGAGCCAAAAGTCGAATCATTCATAATGGCAAGAAGTTAGGTCTTTTATGCTGGTGTTCGCTGGCTGACCGACCTGTCACGGGCCCCTGATCCTTAGTTGCGATCGACTGGCTCAACCTCTGTCCGATTCTCTTTACCTTCAACGTATGCTGCATACGCCTTAGCGAGACCCATGTACGTCTTGTTAACATCTCTGCTTTTACTCTCCTCGAGGCTATGGGTGACTTGTTCGATGGAGTATCCACTCTCGTACCAGCGACCGTAAAGCCTCTTCATCGTCTCCACGCTGGACAGCGAATCCTTTCGCTTGTCTTCGATGGAGGTTTTCTTGGGCACGCCACTGCTTGGGGAGTACCAGACAGTGTTATCTTCATTGAAACCCTGAGCACCACGGAGCATTCGCTTGGTCTTGGTCTCCGATATAAGAGGGTCGATCAGATGGACGTGGTCCTGCGAAGCTAGGTTCCTGGTTCTAGCATCCTGTGCGGGCCCAGCGGCTGGAGCAGAACTCTTACTTGCGACAAGAGCGGCGGCAACCAGTGTGAGGACGTATTGAAGGTGCATAGTTGGTTGAGATCAATTTTGAAGCACCGATGTTGGTTGTTCGCGTGACTCGAAATTGCTGAATGACCACCACGTCGATGTTGGGGCAAATTGGCACGCTGAACACCGCCTACCGCGTGAAGACCAGATACTCAGGAGTGATCTGCTCCGTCCTAGTCGTCATGGTTCGGGGGGTCTGCATTTCCCATGAACGTGTAGAGGTACTTCTGCCCTGCACGCAAATCGTCACTGCGCATAAAGGAGTTGCACGGGCGGTATCCTGGTCAAAAGGTAGGTCGCTTCTACCTCGATGTGGCGATTGTTTTAGCTCATTTGAATGCCGTATGCTGGCACTTGTGCTCGCTCCTTCATAGACGTCTCACTCGGATAGCCAGTCGTTCGGTATGGGCAAGTGCAGATTCTTGGTCAGTCAGGTCTGCTAGATGTCGAAGTAGGCTACTTTCACGTTCTTGACTGTTGACTTGTTGTATGTTAAAAGCTATTGCTGTGATACGAACGCCCCTGATACGTGCTCTTCAGCACACTTTGGCAATGTGGATACTGCCATACTACGCGGCTGCCGCTGATCCAGAACGTTTGCAACCGACATGAGCTAACGATTCCGTATATAATGCGACGAGGCGACTGGGTGCGGCGACATGACAGCACATTACCGTTGATGCTCATGGCTGCGGCTGTAAACACTGGCCGCAATGTAGTCTGTCTTTCTCAGCATCGGTGTAGCAAATGATCGCCAATGTCGTCAAGTCGAGGCTCGAGTACGGACGTGCAGAGATACCACAAGAGGGACGAATGCGTACGCAACATACAAAAACGTGACCACGAGACCACTCGATCTGCGGGACTTGTCGATTGAAAAAGTGAAATTGCTCCAACTCTATAGCGGCCACTCATTTGATGGTGCGGGAAGTAGCAAGCGGACACGACAGGTTGAGATTGAGCTAGTCGAGACCTTGGAATGCTCACACATTTCGGCTCAGCTTGCTCGCCATGCAAACCCGTCAAGACGCTCTGTATGAACATTCTGTGCATTTCTTTTTCAAGCCTTTCCGCCGATCGTGCATTCATGGTGCACCCAGAAACGTGATGATTTGCTTCTGAAGTGTCGTTAGAGCTATCGCCCAAGCTTTTTATCCTGTGTAGGTCAGGGCGGGTATAATATACGTACGCTATCAAGCAACCGTCCCGGACAACTACAGCATGATCTTACCATACCGTCAACTGGTTCGACAACCAAGAAGACGCCGTAGGAGGCAATCAAATGTTGATCAAATGTTGACGACCACTGGCTGAACAAGTGATATCACTGCCCTACTACGTCATTGGGACAAGCTAGACTCTGATTCCTCTGACAGTAAAGAGAGCGACACACGTCTCGTCGTGGTGTTTATCCTACGTTTACATGTACATTCCTAGCATTGAGCGCTAAGATAATCTATTGATCACCGGGGGGGGGGTTGAAAGCGACGCATAGACAGAAGTGCCTTGTCAGTAAGGATCGTGAGGTGTCCAAAACTACGTAAACGACATTGACAAAACGAAACGAAGAAGCATGTTCGTTCATCCAAGGTGCAACCTCGAGGCAATCATTGATGCAGACTGCCACGTGTCGAGGGTCAGTTTCCAGACGTACAAGTCGTGCCGCCGAAGATAGATCCGGTAGGGTCCATCCTGGACAAAATCCTACCCTTGTCTATGCAACCTGCAGCCCCTGCTGCGTGCTAGATACGAGCTGAATTGCGCCAAATGCGACCTCAAAGAATGGACACCACTTGCGCATGAAGAATGTCACATCGTGGAGAAAGACGCGAACGCTTGCTGAATTGCGATTGCATCAACCATTATACCATGTTTTACACCGCAAATCAAAGAAACACATCCGAGCGATGCAGCGAATGCATGACGACGTGGATCGAATGTGCTACAAATTTTGCACGGTCTTGCCCTCAACGAGTATTGCACGGGATCAACCCAGATGACAAGACAGATGCTACATAGTCGAAGGCTGCCTCTCTTCGCACCCAACTCAGACTGTTTATACACTTGCTAATAGCATAGCCGTGGACAGTAAGCAGGCCTTACACTACGAAGTGGCAACTTGTGATGGAACGAACGTCAAGAGCGTCTACGGTAGTGAGTACAACTTAACTCTCTGTCTAATCCATCAAAACGATTTCAAGCTAAACTCTTAAAAGTGCGCCACAGTAGCGAAATAACTCGGGGGTAACTCAAGATTAAGTTATTCTTGAGTTATCCCCGAGTTATTTCGCTACAACGTTTTGTATCTCTGTGACACCCGGGATAACTTTTTGACACCCGAAATAACTTTTGGCTGCATGTCATTGGCGAAGATTCTTTGCATGTCATTGGCTCCGGTTGATAGAGAAGAACGATGATTTGAAGTCGACAACGTGGTTCTAAATGACACTAGCAACATTATACCCTGGAACCAAACTGGAGACCAAAAAAAAACAAGGCTACCACAACTTTACCAGTCACGTTCGGCCGAAAAGAGCTTATATTACATCGTTATACTGACTGCTGTGAAGTTTTTTGCGTGTCAGTTTGAGAGGAAGTTATACTGGTCTCTGACTGGTGCACAAAAAGTTAGGTTATACTCGCTGTGGAGAGACGCTCTACCGTGTGGATCAGAGCAATAGCGACAAAGTTTCGGCTGGAAAGCGTGGATGAGTCTTCCATCGCCGTAACAGTCCTGTCAACGTCTATGTTGATGATGATTTCATGACCGTCTATTAACATATGATTATGCTAAAGATGTCTGAAAACTTCTAAGCCAGGACAATAGCTCCGGAACTGATAGCTTGTCGTGGCTGTCACCTAAAGGTATCGGCCCATCCCGAGGTTCGAGAATAAAGAGGTCGATACAGGTATGCATGATAGCCCCGGCGACAGCTGTGGCGGGACCGCGATGTTCGCGTTTCGCTAATGCGGTAAGATGTCGAATTCCCAGCGCCCAAAAACGCGCGGCGCTGTGGAGAGGCGTCGACTGCACTCCTCGAAAAACCGCGTCGTTCCGCTCATTCCATAAGTGGGTCAGACAAATGCTGCTCATAATAAACCAGAGACGCTTCCAAACCGCGACACCAGCCTCTAAGTCCTCCGGGAGCATATGGTAAATCCGAAGACGCTGCTTGGACGGTATCTCCGGCGCGTGACGATTCACACTCCCGACGAACCTACGCTCTCCCCACGGCCTCCCAGCCCGTTCACCTGTCCAATGGGTAATGAGTTGACCCCAGCACGCGCGCGCCTTGGGGCAGTCCCAAAAGATGTGAGCCGGCGTTTCTTTGCAACCGTGACACGCCGATAACGCCCGGCAACTATTGTCCGCCGGACGGCCGGCATGGTACAAGTTGAGTTGCTTGGTGGCTATACGGTAACACGTCCAGACCTGATGGTCGGAAAGGCCATTGGCATGCTTCCAAACGTGTGCCGGGTCTTGGTTTGCGGCAGCCCGCTGCCACTGATCGAAGTCACAGACGGCGTCCAGACGCCGCACCAGCGGTCGCAATGCGACTGCAAGAAGTCTTTTGTGAAACGTGAACGCCAGGCGTGAAATAGCTTTTCGTATAGCTAAATTCGCGACCGACTCGGCGACGGCCCAAGGAAAGCCATGATGCCCGGGATGGGAGTAAAACACGACGCCGTGACGACGCAGGCGTAGGTCCCAAATGGATCTGTCCTCGTCCGAATTAGTAGCTAACTCTGGTAGGTGAGAGGTGAAAAACCAGCGAATTCCATCCGCACTCTGCTGCAGTTCAACAGGCTGGTCAGCGACTTCCAAGTACCCCTCTCGCCTCCCGACCACTCGACCTTGTTGCACCGAGGCCCAGGTCCATTCATGTCGAAAAGGTGGTGCATGGCGAAGAACCAGCTCAGGTTCGAGCGCTAATTCGCCCCCAATGGGAAACGTAGGGGATGCCAGCAAGATTGCCGTCGCCCACCGACGGAGTTTAGGCTGCGAGTGGTGAATAGATCGGGGTCCAACCGGCTTAATGCGAAAAATAAATTCAGTTGGCCCTGTTCGCCGAATGTGCAGGTCCGAGATGGGGCAGATCGCGATCCGGTCGTAGGTAGCGGATTTTAACGGAAGGCCATTGCCGTCCTGGATCCACGGGTTATTACTCCAGCCTAGTGTCCCCCAAAAGCGATGTAGCGCACACTGTTGAGGATCGAGTGCAGGTAACCCAGCCGGGAAAGGGTGATGATACGACAGAACCCATTCCTCCTCCTCCCACCAGCTACTGGCGCCGTGGAGGACGGGGTGGTAGTACGTTCGTACCCGCTCGCTGAGTATGGTGGCTTGCTCTACCGTAGGGTGTAGAAGCTTGTCAACGTCCGGTACCCATGAATTTGGTGACGGTGCCCCGACACACGATGCAGCCCCAGCTGCCTGCGTCCTGCAATGGAGAACCAGGCCCGAATTTGTCGGCCGGCCTTGATAATCCCACGCACTCCAGGCTCCAAAATACTTGTACTGAGCTTGTGTGAGCCACTGTAAAGCGTGCTTGGTACGCTGCGTTTTAATAGCCACTTCCAAAGAGGCCAACCCAACCCCCCCTGCCTTTTTGGGGGTGAAAAGTAGTCCCGGGTTAATCTTGTGTCGGCTGGCTTCCGTTGAAGTTGCATGAGCCCATAAAAATTGTTTGTACAGGTTGTGGACAGCAAGTCGTGCCCACTCAGGCATATCGAACACCGCCGCCGTGAACAGAACAGACGGGAGAATGATGGAGTTGAGGATCAACACCCGATTCGCCACACTGGTCGCCACCCTAGAAGCTGTCATTAGCCTCCGTTGAAGCTTCCGGATGCGAAGCGCCCAGTTGCAATTGTGTAAGGGTCTCAGTCCGACTTGATAGCCCAGGTATCGCACCGTGTCCGCCTGTTGAAGGACCGGAATGCCCCGCATGTCGGCTACGTGCACAGCCCGATTAAGACAAATGATCTGACTCTTGGAGGGTTGGGCAACTAGCCCTGATAGGGTCCCAAATTGAGAGAGAAGAGCTATCGCTGGCTCCAGCTGACTGGCCTTCTCGAGAAAGATCGTCGAGTCATCCACAAACGCCGAGAAAACGTGCGTTGCCGGATGTCGTCCAGGGACAGGAAGCCCAGACAAATCTGGTGATTGCTGTACCGCAACGCCCAATATCTCCACCACGACGAGAAAAAGCAAAGGGGCGAGTGGACAGCCTTGCCGGATACCGGAAACGACGGAGATGGGACGAGACTGTTCCCCATTTACAAGGAACGCGGCCGTAGTACCAGTATGTAGTCGAGTAATAAGCTGAACATACCTTTCCGCGAAAACAAATTGGCGAAGAGCCTCATACAGGAATTCGCGATCGACCGTGTCATAAGCCTTGCGGAAATCCAGTAGGAGGATCACTCGGCTGTCGTCGGCGGATGTAGTTGTATCCGATGTTGCTGTCGCCAGTTGAGCGAGCATCATCAACACTAGTTTAGACATCTGACGTCCGTGTACGAAGCCTTGCTGCGAGTCACCAATGACTTTTGGTAATACGCGTTGCAGTCGTGTGGCCAGCACTTTCGCAAAGATCTTGTAACTGGTTTGGAGTAGAGAAATCGGTCTGTGATCCATCGCATCCGCCGAGTCTCCCTTTTTACGCAAGGGTATGATCAAAGCTTCGAGAAACGAAGGCGGGGGATCAGCTCCAGCCAAAATTTGATTGCTGAGCTGGACCAGGGCGGGGACAAGAAGTGCAGACGCATCCTTGTAAAAATCGTTGTTGAGCCCGTCCAGTCCCGCAGACTTATGTCGACTGAGCCCAGAAACGGCTGCAAGGACTTCCGCTTCCGAAAAATCAGCCAAGAGAGCCCGGTTGTCGGCAGAAGACAAGACCCGGTCTGTGGGTAGATTGACAAAACGGCGAATGGCTGATGGCAAGTCCACTCTCTCCTCCTGGCAATGAACTTTGCCAAGGACTGTAGACCATTCGGAGGCAAATTTATCCGCGTTAGTCATATCCCGGGTAAAATGCGGGCCGTGGATGCGCGAAATTGTTGTGACTGTTTGATTGCGTTCCCAGTCGGCAACCCGCTTGTAAAAATAGCGCAACTGGTCAGCCGTCCTGGCGAGCTTCTGGCCCAGTCGCACCAGATGTTCCTGCCGTAATTCCTCCATATTGCAGGAGATAAATTGCGGCCGGGTGAGGAGAGGTCGCCGAGCTCTGCCCTGAATCTTCCGACGAAATCGCGCTCTGCGCTGTTTGACCCGCTTCCGGATGCGTCGAACGCACTGTTGACACTCTGTGACATCCGCGTCCCAAGTGAGGGTAGAAACGCTCTGACCTATAGCCCTTCCGTCCATTTCCGCGACGAGTTCGTCAACGATCCTGCCAGGGTTCGATGAATGAATCGGATATGTTACACGCCCATGCCGGCTTGACGGACGAGGTTTGTTCAGGTCACGTAGGTGTAGCACAACCTCCTGATGGTCCGACTGATTTGATGGCACCCGCGCTTCAATCCACAGCACGCGACCTACCCACCCCTCAGGCACATAGAAACGATCGATGCGACTGGCACGGTCCCCATTCCAGTAAGTGAAATGGTCAGTAGGATCGCCAGTGCCCTCGTCATCCGCATGATCCCGAAGATCTCTCGCATCCGCCAAGCCCAGTGTCGCAACTGCCGCGTCCAGGGCAGGGCTTTCCGATCGGTGCGATCGGTAACTGCCGTACCGATCGAGGAGAGGGCACTGGACGCAGTTAAAGTCGCCCGCCATAATAGTGTTGGAGACCATCAAATTCCAGCTGAGAAGGGAAGTAAAGAAGTCCTCCCGTTCACCTCGCAGTGTAGGTGCGTACACATTGATCAGAACATCCTCCCCAATGGAAATTGCGATCGCCCGGGGTGACCAGCGTTCCGGTTCCCAGGCCGAAGCTGTACGAGCAGAATGAGGGGTAAGAAGAATGGCAACACCAGCTCGGCTGGAAGAGCCAATACTCCAGAACGATAGAGGAGGAGCGTCAGGATCCAAGGTGTTGACCCCATAACTGAGCCCACCTGGAACTCAGCCTACCTGCCTCTTCGTCAGTATGTACATGCGTCTCCTGAATACACCAAGCCTGCGGGCGACGGATCTGAGGCGCACCACGCCACGCCGACAACCACCCTTCCCGAGCGCTAGCCTTGAAGCCCCTCACGTTTTGGGAAATAAAGAGCCTGTCCCCACCCCGAGAATCCAGTGGATTAACTGCTGAAGTCCAGGACGGAGACCAGTTTTGAAGTTTGCGATGCCGGCTGTAGGCGTCAGCTTCCTCAAAGAAAGGAACTTCGGGGCTGAAGACGGAATTCTGCCGTAAGCTGCCCTTAGTACTCGAGGAGGAACCTCTGCTCTGCCGGGGCCAAAGCAGTAGTAAAATAGCGAACGAGCGCAGTCCAGTCGATCGGAGCATCCCCGTCTGGGTAGTACGTATCCTTGTAGGTACTATTGGTCCGAAGTAAGCGAAAGTGGCAACGGAGTTGCTCGGGAGGGCGTACTGGCTTTCCGCCAGTCCCCGTCAGCGCAAAAATCTCGTTGTCGAACACGATGGCACACATGAGGTGGTGACTCATTCGGACGCGTCTGTGCGGGTCACACAATCGTAAAACGTCGTCCCCCGCATAGTTAATCCCTCGCAACTTTCTCCAATCGTCGGAATTGTCAATCAGAGGGGCCAGCAGAGACGGCGAAAGGCGCTGCTGCGATCGAGCAATCCATTGGTCGAGCCAAACACCCGTGGGTAGCTCTGTCACTCGCTGTCGGAATTCTAGGAGCCCGGATAATAAGCACTCCTGGCGCCACAGCGCCGTCCACTGTACAAAAACTGTGTCGGACAAGCTAGCAAGTACTTCGTCTGGAAAGACGAAGCGGCGCAAGTGATGGAGTAACAATTCCGGCTCCAAACGAGCCGTAGCCTCCCACCCGTTGGAGTCTCCATATACTAGAGGATACGGTGTTGCTGCTGTTGTCGGCCATTCGGCTCCCAGATAACTCCAGAGCTCCGGCCATTCGTCCCGATCGATTCTGTCGTCCGGCGCGTCTAGTGAAGAATTCCGTAGGGCTGAACGAACCCGACCTTTCTTGTGGCGAGAGCCGATCGGAACGACGGCACCTGGATCCGCAGACGCCGCCAGGAGCGGGGGAGAGCCGCCGTGGCCCCTTTTCCGCGCCGCAGAGGCCATCCCGCGTTCGCAACAGCTGCTCGAAGTAGAAGTTAAAGCCAATTGACAAGAGGGTTGTGCCGAGGTTCGAGCGACCGCGTCTCCAGCGTCGTAAATGACGATCGACGTCCGGTCACCGCTGTCTGGAAGGAGTTTGTCGTCTGAGGGCAGTGCTGAAGCGCTTTTCTCCTCCAATGGTACCAACGATGTGGCTTTAGCGTCCTCGAAGGAGTGGACCGGATCCTGCGGCGACGCACTCGGCCCGTCCTGGGTATCGGTAAGGTTTAACGGATCGGCCACTCCCGCTGAATGGAGCAATGCCGAGTAGTGGCTGCCGCCAAACCGCAACACTAACGGTAGAGCCTGGGTCGCCCCGACTTTGGTAGCCTGCAGCTCGTCGATGCACGCCATAATGGAAAGGGGGTACTCTTTTACAGAAGCCACCGCCCGTCCCCGTACAGTCATCGAAACGGGGTGATACTTGCGGCAACGCCACTGAGGGGTGGCTTCCTCGCGTTGAACGACAAAGATGTCTCTCTGTAAAAACGTGGCTGCCATGCCGAGTGTGTCACTGCCCCCCCAACAGTCCGTAGGCACATGCGAAGTTCGCCCCGATGGGGTGGCCGCAAAGTCCGTCAAAAACCAGCGGAATTGAGAAGCCGACTCTGTGCGCGTCATCGACGCCCACCCACGGCCCACGTTCTTAAGTGCCTGCACCCGCAAGTCGTGAGGGAGCTGATCCTCCAAGTTCAAGAGTCCTGTACACGTGATACCTCGTTTAATGCAAGCCGTGAGAAGCTCCTGGTCCTTGGTAGGGGCGGTCAAGGCAGACTCAGCCACCGCTTGAGCAAGAGCTATCGCCAAACAATTGCCGTTCGCTGGGGTGTTAATTTCCCGAAGTCCCAGAATACTCACAAGCTCGCCCATGTGGATGGGTTCCGCTGGCGGCTTAGGATCCATGGGTATCGAGTGACATTGCCGATCCGGCAGCAGCTTTAAAAGCTTTTCGCAAGTCAGACGTTCCCGTCGCTGCTGGGTCAGGAGAGCCGGACCCGCGGTAACTACCGCCGGGCCCCGGATACCGGCTGCTTGTTTCCGGGCCTGATCCTCCGGCAGAAGCCGAGAGTGGGACAGCCGTGCCGAAAAAGCAGGAGTCGAGGAGCCTCCCGTCCCCGGCTGCGGAGGTGCAGAGGCGACACTGCCTTCAAATGGGGAAGACGGACCCTCCTCTGCCCTATCATCCTCCTGGAGAACGTGATAACTCCCGCTGCTGTCGTTCAGCTGAGGCGGGGAAGGCTGAACTGGGGGCCAAGGCCGACGACCCCCTCGAAGGGGGCGTCTCATCCATGGCTGTTCGGGCCGGGGTTTTGGGGCCGGAGGAGGCGGGCCCTCGTGCGCGACATGAGTAGTATACACCGATTGGATAGGTATACCTGTTGGCTGGGGCTCGGCGGCCGGCGGTGGACTGGAAGTGGCGACCGGTACCGCCGGAGTCACCGCAGCTTGTGCCGCTGCATCGGCTGATTGCTGCACAATCAGTCGTCGCTGCGCCATTTGCCGCATTTCATCAGGGCTACTAAACGGTTTGGCCAGATCTTCAACAGCTAAAAGCTCGGCTTCGTGGACCTCCAGCCCGCCCGGCCCCCGCAACTGCGCATCAGTGAACTGACACCTCGACGCCGGGTGGCCTAGCGTACCACATTGCAAACATTGGAGGCGACGGCCCACGTCCGGATGCCGGACGATAATGGGGGTCCCAAACCAAAGCAGTCTGACTACTCCTTGGAGAAAGGTCGGGCAACCCGCCAGATGAAAGGTGACTTTCCAGGCAGTGGACGTACGTGAGTTCGGGGTGCAGGTATCCATATCCTCCAGCTCAAAATCCGTTGGTATCTTGGAGCGGAGGTAGGCAGCAATGCGCCCAATATCATCAAACCGGGTGAGATTATACAGCAAAATGGTGTATGCTGCCCGAGGGTGGCTCGACCGCCCGTCTGGTCCCCGCTGATTCAACCAGACCGAGCCCCTGACCGGGTGATGAACATTCTCGAGCGTGTACGCCCTCCCCTGAAAAGGCACTACGACATCCTGGTGCGCCTTGGCAATGGCTCGCGTAAAGAAATAGAAGTGGATTGAACGGGTAGAACGATTGTAGCTTATCGTCTTGGCCAACCCGAGGAAACGGTGAAGATCCGGCAAGCAGACCCGCAAGATTTCCGCCGATTCCAAAATCTTCTCCGTAATAGCGTGGGTCGTCCGGCGTCCAATTGGGATATCACGTCCATGTCTAAGTTTTAATACCAACTGTCCCTCGACCTGCGCCTGAACAGTCCGACACAACCGAAGCCGCTCGTCGCTGTCGAAGACAGAATTGAGAAAATCAGGCAGCCGACGACAGGCAATAAGCCCTTCCGCAATCCCAATGATGATGCGCCATTCATCATCTGTACCCTCGCGCAGACGGTGAGTACCTGTCAAGTTAAGGCGCGTTGCGCAAATGGCTCGGAGCGTGGTCGTCTCTTCCTCCGAAAAATGTGCCGGATCGAACATAAAGTCATCGAACACGGTACGCTGCTTGCCTGTCGTACTGGCAGGTGCAGCAGCACTGCCTGTCTGCACGACTTGAGACCACAGCCGCGGGATTGGAGCCACAGCCCATTTCTGTCGGCTGGCCAGCTTGCGCAAGATTTCTTTGAACGCCCACTTCGTGACGAGGATCTCCTTACTGATCTGGTGGGCTAAACGGGTCCAGTCGACGTAGCGGCCGGATGTCACAACAAAACACTGCTTAAACAAATCCAGCAAACTCACCAGCTCGGTACTTGTGAGCTTGGGATACCGTTTGCGTTCGGCCGGCAACGCGTCGAAGCTGACTGGAAGGCGGGCAAATTCCAGCGCAAATAACTCCTGGATGGTCTGGCGCCAGACATCTAGGTACGGGGGCCCCGAAGAAGCCTTCATCGCCGCGGTAAGGGCCTCAAACATGTCGCGCGGATGAACCGGGGGCGTGAAAGCCTGCGAAGGCGACGAGGAGGACTCGGAATCCTCCCCCGAAGCGCGCCCGGTGGTTCCGTCCAGCCGCGGCGTTACTGCATCCGTCTTGCCGCTACGCAGCGACTGGTCTGCCATGGTGAAGGAAGCATCCCCCGCCAAGCCTGACTCCATAGCCGCTGAGGAGGTCGGCAGCTGAGAGTCCGCGAGAGGAGAAGATGCGGCGTGCACTGGAACCCCTGTCCCGTGAGCAGAAGATGCGGCGTGTACTGGAGCCCCTGTCCCGTGAGCAGCAGATGCGGTGTGTTCTTGCGCCCCTGCCCCGTTTGCAGAGGATGTGGGGCTACCAGCGGAGGGAGAAGGAGCCTTCTCCGGAGGCCCCGCGTCCTCCGGTAAGTCGAGGGCCGGGCTAGAGTTTCCCGGGTCGTCCGGCTGGCCCCTTGGCAAAGCCGCGTCCCCCCCTGTCGGGAGGGGGGCATGGTGGCGGCTCCAGAGCCGTCGTTCGAGAAGAGCTGGCTAACGCCAGTTCGTGTCCTGTTTATACTCCCCCACCCAGCACTGCAGATTGAAGAGTGTCAACGTCTATGTTGTAGGCGGTCCAGCACCCAGCTCAACGGAAGATGGTCGTGTTGTGATGAACAAAAACACGCGCAACACGATCGTGGACCACGGTACAACTTACCCGTGCGACATGCTAGTTCTTGCGTCGACAACTCGCAAATTTCTACCACGTGTGAGGAGAAAGTGCTTTGGCGAGCTATTGTGGCTTCGCCCATATCGCGCTGGAAGTCTTCACGAAGTTCTTTACTGCTTTGCGAAGCTCTAAACGCGCAGCTGTAGTCTCAGCGGCATTTCGGCAATAATTAGCTCCCGATTTGTTGCCAAGGCGAGTCCTATTTCTTGGTGCCAGTACCGGCCAAAAAGCAGTCGGTTCTGATGGGCTATTGCTTGGGACAACGCGGTCTGGAAGATTCAACAAAATTAGAATCTAGAGCGTAGATGTCGGAACCTCGATATCGGTGTGCTAGCGATTATTCCATCGTTAGCTACATTTACACGCGAAACACGGAGACTTAGACCTCGTAACAGTCCATAACATCAGTACCCTCAAATTGGACCACTTGAACTTTTATCGGATGGCAGAGGCATAATGGGGCCGACACAAACCGGTGAATACGATACCATCACTTTAGATGGTCGTTTGCAGCATCCGCAATTTGGAGCGCGTTGGCTCAACAAGTACCCAAAACTATCGATGTCTACAGGTACCTGACACTATCGCTGTCCACCTATTAGCAACGTGACGCCGTGCATGGTCGGTTCTCCACCGAATAACTTCACGCCATCGACATGTTGACAACATTCCTGCAACGTAGCCCGGAGTTCGTCTAATCATCTAGTCGCTGCTAAAACCACACCATTAAGCGGCAAATGGTCTATTAGTTCCTACTTCGCGCTCTATTTGTATTGCATCCTCCATCGACGGTCAACAAAAGACCTCTCGCACAGAGCGCAAAACCCCGTACTCTTGACTCGGACTTGAAAAACACTAGATTTACACACGAGCAAGTTGTTGTAACGTCTCAACTTTATCTCTTTTTTACGAATCTCTACAAAAGGGTCGGGGCAGATAAACGCACGTCAAGTCCACGTTCCAATCCGCCGTGCCCATGTCACTCTTCCAGAAACTGTCCGACCAGGAACCCCATCCTTGCACACATGCGTACGTACATCCACTCTCACACTCTCTCTCTCTGTCCACAGTCTCCAAAACGTACCTTCATCCCCAACAGTCGTACAACCTCTTCACCAAACGAACCCCCATCATGCCACCCACCGACAGCCGAAGTCGAACCAGTCGACGCCTCCCCTGCAAACCCAAGACGACCATGGCTACACCCCATCCTCCTCCTCCCCCATTACCGCCTCATCCATCGTCCACGTCTCCGTCCACCTCCCAATGCACGACGATCAACGACCCCAAGCGCGTCTTCCTGCGACGCGACAGTTCGTCGTACAATATCTTCCGTGCCTCGCACGGTCGTCCACTCGACGGCCTCCTGCTCTTCCCCGAGCAACCGCGTCAGATCTTCGTGCTCTCCCTCGTCGTAGCCACGATATCGTACTACTCCTTCACCCACGACTCCCCCGACGTGGCGCAGAACGGACGCAACGCGCTGTACGCGGCCGTGCTCGTCTTCCTCGTCTACTGCTTCTTGCAGACGAAGGACGGACTGCTGACGCGGCCGCATCCAGGCGTCTGGCGCGTCGTGCACGGCTGCTCGGTTGTGTACTTGCTCTTCCTGGCCGCGATGCTCGTGCAGAACCGACAGAGTGCAGTGCACGCGATGCAGCTGGTGTTTCCGGAAGTGGGGAGTCGACTCGAAAGGGGTGGAAACCAGCAGGGAACTGCAGGAGGAACTGCGGTGCTGCAGTGTGCAATGAACTATGAGGTAGGCGGTAACGAGCTTGGTTGGATGCAAGGGGGGGAGAGGGAGGGAGGGGAGGTTGTTGGTGGTGTTGGGGTTGAAACCAATGAGGGAACCTGCTTTTTTGGAGGGCGTGATTGGTTGGAGGGTTAATGGACTTTTGGATGTAAATGTGTTTTCTTCTTGTCTTTTTTTTTTTTTTTGGAGGCTTTGAAACGAGGGGTGTCGAGCATTTGGTTCTTTGCCCATATGACGGGCTGGTGGGGCAAAATGTGCATGTTTCGGGACTGGCGTTTCTGTTGGGTACTTAGTATTGCGTTCGAGCTGCTGGAGCTGGCGCTGCAGTTTGTGATTCCAGACTTTAAAGAATGCTGGTGTGGGACCATGATTGGATAGTGGTTTTTGTGTGTGTTTTTCTTGGTGGTGAGAGGAAACTGATTGATGCCGGTGGTGCTGTTTTGTTGTGGTTGCTTGTGGTTGCTGGTGGTTGCTGGTGGTTGCTGGTGGTTGATGATTGGGTGACTTAGGTGGGACTCGCTGTTGCTGGATATGCTTGGTGCGAATTTGCTGGGCATGTGTCTTGGCCGTGTGACGTTGTGGCTGCTGGAATCGAAGGAGTACGATTGGTCGGGCCGCCGAGGCAAGAAGCTGGGCTATTTTCGCCTGGCACTGAATCAGTTCACGCCGTTTCAATGGGAGCAATATCACTGGGAAGTGTTTTCAAGTTTCAAGCGCTTTGCGGAGATTGTCTTTGCAATGATGATGTGTCTAGTCACAGAGCTCAATGCGTTCTTTATGCTGACAACGTTGAGCATTCCGAAAGAGAGCAGCTTCAACTCGTACCGCCTCTTTCTCATGTTTATGATTGGAATTCCTGCAGCTTCTGAGGTGCGGCTGCATATTTATTTTCTTTTGCTTGATCTTGTGCTGCCGACAGATTATTGACTATCTTGACGACATGAATGAATTGCTCAGTACTATGAGTTCATCACAAATCCAAAATGCTGGCGATTAGGGCAGAACTCATGGATGGTTCTGTCAATCGCTATCTTCGAGGTTCTTGTGTGGATCAAGTTCTCTGCTGACGGCGTGTTGTTCACCCAACCGCCACCAGACTTAGTGATGTACCCAATCCTGACGTTCGCAGTCATGTTCTCGGTCTGGATGGTGCTCTTCTTCCGAAATAAGCCACCCCAGCCAGCCTCACGGCGTTCACGCAGACTTGTCACTGGTTGGGGGTACCTCGACGTGCTGTTCTGGGCCTCTTTCACGCCGCTGGTTTTTTTGGCGTCGCAGTGGGCATTTTAAGGTGAACTGTAGCCTCGAAGGTGGTGCGCAATGGGAAGAAGACAAGCATAGCTGATTGTGCTTGTACAATCTACTCGAAGATATGTACGATGTACAGGCACTTGGCGATAGCGAGAGCCAGCTGGCGCAACCTCATGATCGCTAAAGCTTTCGTATCTGTTATTCTGGATTAATGTCATGTAATTAGAGTGACCGGTACAGGTATCCCTCATGAATCACGCTCAGGACCTAACATGGTAGTTAATTATTGAGTAAAAAGGCTGAAAGTAGCAATGTCCGTGTGTATTTCGTATGCACTGATCGACCCACACATTGCGACTTTTACAGCGGTAAATGGCTAGTATATACCACTGAACGGATGGGTGCAAAGTAGAAGTTGTTTCTATCTCTCGGTGACCTCAGTAGACAGAGCAATGTCATAGCGATTGCCCGTCTCGACCACAAGAAGGGAATGAAGAGATGACTTGCGTATCTGAAAGTATGATTATCCTGGGACTGTGCATCGCAATTATGTTCGACGTAAATTAAAGAGTTTTGTGTCTTTCTCGTGGTACAGCGTTATCGCGCCAGTCTATATCCGAGAAAAGGTGAGCAACGTCTACTGAGCAGCGTCTACTGCTTCAGATTCAGTTCCATCCAAAGAATATCAGTCGTTTCGTTTATAAAAGGACCCATTGAAGTGCGGCACAGCGCAAATGAATGGACTGAAGTTGCACTGACAAAAACATAATTTTACAGTTAGGATCGTAAACGCGTGTCTTTTGCAGTGCACAACTCGAAAGTGAACTACTAAACTAGCCATCTTTGTCAATACTACTGACGTATGGTTCAATATAAATATGCATGTAAACCAGATTCATGAACAAAGTTCTGGAAGCTCACACAACTGCAACCCTTGGTGCCACGATCTTCCGTTGTTCTTGCAGATGATATCCTTCCTCCAGATGAACACACAGCTTCCCAACTCACAACCTTCTACCTCAAACGTACGAAAAATGTGTCGCACGTGGGACAGCTTTGTTACATGTAACATACAGACCATACGCATTATGAAATATAGTGTTACCCTTTGCCGTTATAAGATGAACACCTATGTAACATTGTGCGGAGTTTTATTTTTCATAATTTTGGAATCCGGAAACATCTCGTTCAGCTACATGATCTATCTAGTTCTTTTACTGCGTCGTCACAACAGCCACATGATCCAGATCATTATAAAGGGCGGAGCCTGCTTAGAGCAAAGCAAAATCTCTGTGAAAGCAACCGATCCATTTGGCGACACTTTCTCCCACTTACATGCAAAGCGACCGACTCCCAACAGACACAGTATGTAACGTTCTTATGTGAAGCGGGATCGGCCAGTGCCTATCTATCTTCTTGATCACTTTTTGATCCTGAATGCAGGAAACGATAAGCTGAACTTGCAAGATCGCTTAAACGACCTAAGTAGGCTAACGCACGAACGGGAAGACGAAAAGTCAGGCGACATGGCAAGCATACTTCCTGACTTGTCAGTTTTTACATTTTCTGAACCGCTTCCGCGCTGACATCGTATCACTAAAACGGACTGAAATGGCTCGCATCGATACTTTGGAATGCAAGTTTCTTGTCTTTTCAGGTACTGCTTCGTGTCTTTCCAAATGAGACGTTCAATATCCGATAATAAATTGCAAGACCAGCTTAGAAATGACATCGTGTCGGCTGCAACGTCGTGTTTTGGATTCTCTTTGTAAATTAATAATGATATGCTACGTACCAATTTGTATACTTCTCATGAACATTCAGAGCAGCAGCACGCCCACTCTTTTGAAGTCATCAAAACGCGTCTTGACACACGGCGCCACTACACAAGTGTTTACTAGCAATTTGCAATGTCAATTTGCACATTTTGATATCGAGACGCCATTGCAAGCTTTAACATGAAGTATCATTCCATGAGAGTCGAATCCATCATAGTAAGCAATCAGAAACCGGATTCTGCCACCCTTTCCGGCTGTGATATATAAGCCGTGTTGCAGCTTGCTCATTAGCATACCGTCCAGTTTTGGCAAATGAGCTTTGTTTCAGCCATTTTATGCCTCACTCAAAAGCTTGACAGGGGCAACGAGAAAAAGCCCACACCTTTCAACTTTCATGCATTTCGATGACTTTTATCACGCCCCGTCCGCAGCAAAGTGATTTTCGCTTCAGGTTTAGCGCTCATCACGGGGCCCAAAATCGTCTATTAGTCCAATATTGAGAAGTGAGTGAGTTATCGAGTGGTTCGAATGTAGGGTTTATACGCGCACCTCGATTCAAGACTAAGTGGGGTGAGAATACAAGGAGCCGGGTCCCAGATACGCTGCAATGCAAGGATGTTGTTGCAATATAGAACTTCTAATGCTGCAGCTGCCCATGAGAGGTAGCGAAGGCCCTAAGGCTCCGCGAGATCAACGGCGTCTAGTTTGGTCAAATTCGTTCCGTAGATATAATGAGGACAAGGCGTTGCATCAATAGATGACGTTACATGCACAAGCGATCTCTCAAGCAGAAATGGTCGACAATGTCTTGAGCGCAATGGGCAAGCAACTCACTCGCTTCATAGCTTGATACGACCTCTTTCTCTGACGAATGACCAACCAATCCCATCGTATTCTGTGGAGAAGATATTACTGCGTGCTTTTCATTTACTCGTGTAACTACCACTCAAGAAGGGAAGCTCAATCTCAACAGAACCATCCTGGTGAATGAAACGCGGAGATATACTTTCTAGTTCAGCTATTCAACACTGTGGATGTAATCGGTGCTGTTCATGTCCTCTTATGCCACGATTTCGGATGAATGCGGATAACTGTCGCGCTCACCTTCACCATCACAACCACGAGAGCAAATAATGTCACCTCACCTCTCTTGATCTGGAAAGGCTTGATACAATCGATCCCGAATCTCCTCGTGGTATACGATGCGCACCAAAAGCTAGCGTGGATGAACAATAGGTTTCTTCTGATGGATTGACCTTACGCTTTCCCTCCAGCTATTGCAAGCCTCTGTGGTAGCAGGTGGCACGTTGTATGACTTAATGTGAGCGCGAAAATCAACCGACGTCAAGGTAAAGTACATGGGCAAGTACTTCGAGATAATATATATTCCTGTAAGTCTGATACGTTTCTAAACAGGCGCATGTGAATTCATAAATCGTCCAATATTGTATATCCAGCGTAATTAAAGAAGGGAGGCAATCTGATTGAACTCAACTCCTCAGGGGTGGCAACAAACGCCCTCAGGGCGTGGAGAAGTTGGGTGGCACGGGTCAGCGATTCGTGGAAATTTGTCCAAATGATATCGTGTGGATATCAACACTACCACGATTGAAAAGTATCTCAGCACTGCACGATGTGTAAGGCCAAACCTTTAAGAATAGGTGCATGATCGCTCATAAATTATGTCCAGTGATGTGTATAGTGCTGATGGTGCATGTCATTTTGACGAGCTAGTCGTAGAATCAGGGCATCACGTTTTGTGTTTACAGCAACTCATTGCATTTGTATTGCATGAGATTCAAATCGAAGAGCTATCGTGACGTTTACAGATCCCCCTGTAGAACATCTATCTATATGATCACTGCAGAGTACCTACCCCGGCTGTTCGTGCACCTACAAGCCTGCTACACCGCATCACCGCTGTCATCGTTTATTTCAGAAAACAAGTAACACGTCGTAAATGCGTGTCAATGAGTAGTGCACTAAGCCGATATAATACCTGCTAGTCGTTTGAGCACACTAGGTTGATGCAACAAATTGTTTTATCCGAAACAGGCCGTTTGTTACGTCTGTCGCAGGGTTAGGAACGACGTACGAAACGGTAACCTAGTTGAGACATAAAAATGTCGTGGTTACTCCAAACAGTCTTGGAGATGATAAAAACGTGTTGTCCAACGAAGTAACTTAATACAGCATACCTAAATCTTCCCATTAGCGATAAAGATGTGTGGCATCAAATATGTTGTTTGACGTGATCCACTTCTCTAGACGGCCCTTTTTTCAGTTCCGGCCTAGAATGCTGGACGGGTATTGGTAGAAATCTTAGATGAGAACACTATCTTAGAAAGAAGCAAGTGACTTGCACTTCATAATCCGAGACGATCTTGGTCCACAAAGTCTATTTAAATTTGTTCGAATAGAACTTGAGTCCAACGAGAGACCGAGATCTAGGGTGCGCGCCTTTGCATGCAGCCGCTGATGGCCTCGCGCCTGAGTCAATCAACAAGACGTCAATTCATCCCGGTGCCGCGACCACTGAATGGTGTCCCACCTAGAGCCTTCATTTAGATGAATCTCAAGTAGATATTTTTAATTCCGTAGACGGAATAATGATGATCTGGCTGCAGATATTTACGGACTTGCTGCAGCAGAAGAAGGATCAAGTGTGTCTGAAGAATCCGACCTTCAATCGCCAAGAATGTTGAAACCAGACCTCCTTAAAATCGGTGTACGTTGAATCTTCGGAGATCAAGCTGATAACGGTACGGCACCTGCTCTTAAATTCTGCGCTGGCCGAAGTCAACCAAATGCACAACCTTGTAGTAATTAGACATCAATTAATAAAGTATGCGCTTGACGGGTCCGCATGCATCAACCAAAAGTAAAACTCTAGATTTTTACAGACGCGTCAGCAGGTCAAAAATTTTGGCTTGAATTCCGTGTCCAATACCAGACAACTCAAATATGTGCTCCGACCGTCCTTTTCCCATTTCAACATAGAGCAATAAGACTCCACCAACTTTGTGTTGGCAATTACAGTAGATAGTCCGCAGCAGAACTATTACAGACAACGGAACAAACCGTCCAAAATGCAGACCTGGACGTCACCCCAGCCAATATTAAACATCTTCTCGTGATTAAGTTAGTCAATCTTGGTTTCGCTAAAAGTTAATTTTTGGCACATTGAGAGGTGGTCACTCTCGATCACCTCGTACTGCTCCGCGGACCAGAACTTTGCTATATGGGACTGGAGGGGGTCGA